GAAAGCTATGTATTATATGACGTCAATATCTTAAAAGCCAAGTTTCTCTTTCTCCTTAATGGCTGACTGGATGCATTAGAAAAATGAAAACAGTAGCTGTTGACACGTATGTTTACAAACTTTCGAAATTTTACTATGCTGTATACAATCTGAGAGGAAGTATTGATGTGAGCACAGTACTTATTGATTTTCTTTTTCACAAGACTTATCACGAGAAGTGTATTTACATTATACAATGCTCAGCCAACTGAAAGACTGTTTTTGTTAGGATCAAGTATTATAGAATAGAAGCAGTCAATAGAGAAAAATGAAGAGTGTAAATAGAAGACAAAGTCTTTTCAAGAACTGACTGGATGGTAAATAAGGTAAACTCGAACGAATTACAATTTATTTTTCTGAAGAGCAGAATTCTATTAAAATCGTTCTTTGTAATCACATAATTTTTTTTTATTTTTGATGATTAGAATCTGGTATTACTCGTCGTTCGATTTCTCAAACTTTATTGTGAATTTTGCGATATTTGTGTAACCTATGACATATCTGCGAAGGTATTGTCTTCTTGAATCGCTTTGAGAACCTTACAGATCGACAATACACTAAACTATTTTTATATTGATATAATGATAAATGAAAGATTGTGACCATCTTTCTGTAATTTTGGTGTGCGTGTAAGTGTGTGTGGATGTGAATTAAAGTGAGCAGTAGACCCATACAGATACTGATGCACTGTTTGACGATATAACACTTAATTTGACAAACGAATAATATCTCTAAAGTTCTGCTGAATTGTGGGCTTTATGTTAAATAAGAATGAGTCAAATTTAGCTAAGAAAAGAATAGAAAACAAAGGTTCTATAAATCGGAAGTCTATCAGAAAATCGACGACTTCGAATATTTATGCATGAACAGTTTCAATAAACTGTCCACTGAAATCTCATACAGACGTTCACCGATACTATAACTACACTGACACCAGTTTTTACGGGACACTACTAGTATGTTGGCACTAACGTTCATTAACAGACCTTCTTGATGTTCCCTGCGGCACTGATATTTTTCAAGGAATTTGATTGACAAACTGATACAAATGCCCCAAAGGCACAATTTCTACATTGAATTCACTGATGTGCTTGCTCAAGTCATTTTAAAACAGGATCAATCAATACACACTGTTCGTACAATCATTGCGAGATTAAAATGTAAAATATGATACAGCTGCCCTTGCTAACAATTGAAGGTTCCTATCTATTTTGGAACGCACCTATCTTTACCATTCTTTTATTTAGTCCTGCAATAATATAATGAAGAAGTGATTTATATATCGATGAATCAAAATGATGGCAACATAGAATATTTTGTAAATATCTTGGAAATTTATAAATTCTATAACACAGAAATTTTCTTAAATAGATGTGCCATGAAAAGCTCTACAAAAAATCCGTATAAAGAAATTTTCATGGGTTTCATCTAGTAATTTTCAGATGCTGAAAACAAACAATCCATATGTCAGTGCTATGTTATATCGTACTGAGAATAATAAAAGTGTTTGGATAACTTTTTCTGTTTTGTTATAGGAAGTTGATGATATAGCTTCTGTAGGCTTTCCTCGAATACGTATTTTTAAAAAAATTGAAGATTTTATCACTTTCTCGAGCTGAAACATATGCAAAATAAGATTGAAAGTAGCGCTATCATACAGGTTGTTCATCTACAGTATGAAAGCAATCAGCAGAACGAGCCAGTAAGAATCTCATAATACGGTTTTTTTTAGAACTTTTCATCGCAAATCTTTAAAAAAATTTAAGATTTCATCATTTTCTTAAGCCGAGATATATTTGAAATACGGTGGGTTGCCACTTTTAATGATCTGAGAAAGTAATAAGACAAAGTCATAATGAATTGTCTATAAATAATTTTTTGTAGAGCTTGAAGGTGTAGATGTGGACCCATGAAAGACATCAACACCTATATCCACACCCTGTGATAAGATACCTATTTGTGTCATAAATATCTCTCCTTGCTGGAATGAGGAAGATTTCTTGATAGCAAAGAAATAAATATGAACGAAAGAAGCAAATATCTTGAACATTTCTATGATCTTATAAGTATTATATTTAAAAAAAAAGAAAAAACTATAACAATAGCCATGCTACATAGCAAGTAGACCAAATCAAACTTAGCCTGTAAGAAACATAATACATAAACAAGCTAAACAAGTAGATGATGGTAAAGACTGACATTAGCTAGCAAATACACAAAAAAGACAAAAATAAACCGAACATCTATGCAGTATATCCTCTTATTTATTAGTAATTATTGCCAAATGATTTGTTCTTCCGGTGAAAAGTAAAGGCGACGTATAAATAATAATTTCACATCAAATATGCCGATATGAGTGGAATGTATAGGACTAAATATTCTGTATTTTAGCGGATTACGAAGGATAAGTTTGTTTGAATGCGGTAAATTATTAAAGAAAAACGAAAAATAACGAAGTCTTGTTGTATGCAGTAAATATCCGTTTAAGAAAATACGCTTTGAATAAAACATTAAAGAGGCTTTTGTTTTGTGAAAATTTGGTAAAGTTTATTATGTGACACATAGATATAGAAGGAATGAAACAAAATTTAATACTCCAATATTGATAAATTCATAATGATGATTGTCGTTTTTGCGGATTGTATTAAACTGGTTATGTAGCAATGACAGGAAAATGGAATTTGTTTTAATAATGATAAAAGTTAGTACTTTTCGAGAATGATCGGAAGAGTTTTGGGAAAGTTGTTATTTTCATCGAATTATTGACAATTTTTGAACTAAGCTTTTCTTTCGCAACTCATAACGAAAGAATATGAAACGTCTAACACGAATTGTATTTGAACCATATGATATCTTCTTGTCTTTCATCGTCAATAAAAACAATATATATATATATCTATGAAAACAGCTATGTATTATTTGAGAACCTTTTAGCAACCAATTTGGATATAATGAAAATTTTTATTTCATACCAAAAGTTTGAAGATTATTGAAAGAAATTTTATTTATTTTTGTTGAAGGAAAGACAATTATCATGAGTGTTTTATATTATTTGAAATTGCCTTTTTTGTTTAAACTAACGATGAGATAGATAATTTTAAAAAGTTTACTTTCTCGATTTCCTTTTTCTATTGTTATTTTGATTCTGTAAGTCTTTTGAAGACTATTTCAAGTAATTGTGCATGCTTATTAGCAGATCTAACTGAAAATTGATCAAATATAGCTGTTGTTTCTATTAAAATTTGTAGCATCATTGGATAATTATTAAAGGTTGTCGATAAAGTAGAACTGGAAGTTTCATTACTTCTCGTTTGACGACTATTTTATTGAAATTTTGTTCTAATCATAAATCAGAGCATGATCACTAAACTTTTCGTCGGCTCAAGTCACTAAAGTGTAATATTTTATTGTTTTGAATCTGTAAGTTTTATAAGCATTAGAAGCACTAAAAAGGAGAAAATGGAATGAAGTCATTTTTATGTCCGAAAAAATGTTTGCTTTATATGAATCAAACCAACAAATTATTATTAAATGCTTGGTTTGTCGGAAAAATCATGATTATCATCGAAAAAACGTCTTCTTCTGAGTCACTATTGATAAAAATTTTGGAAACTAAATTCGAGATTCATTATTTGAAATTGTTCGTGGATTAACCTCTTTGTTTTCTTACAGAACATCATCGTTTGAATCCGCTATTATTAGTTTCATGTATAATCTCAGTTAACAAAAAAAGATATGTCTTACAATATAGATTGCAATTTTACTATTTGTATAGCAGCTTGTTTCTGTACGGCTTTCTGTCAATATATTCGCACATTTATTAGAAAATCTTCTTGCGCATGTGTCCATTGTATATTCTTTCTTACATTAATCAACATGTAGTTCAAATAAATTTTTGGCTACAAATGGAACTTTGCATTCGAGACCAGTATTACAATATTTACAAATGCAATATGCTGTACTTCTGTTAGGTCGAGTGCCTGACAAGCTACTAATAAACAACAACAATAAGAAGATCATAAGTGTAAATATGTTAGAATTCATGAACTCTAACAAAGAGAAAGCTTAAAGATTCATAGTGGCTCCTGCTTGATTTTTGCAAACATGTCGAAAACAGTAGGTCAAAGACAAAAATATTTTTGTGAGGAATAGTATTCGAACAGAGATAATAAGATAAGTTAGCTGTGTTTTTTCTCATGATATAAACAGAAATATACTACTGCACCGAGGTCTGTTCGATTATGATAAGTGAACATATATTACCCACAAACAATTCATCAAAATGGCTTTCATTCATGCAAGACACGTGTAGTAAGCTAGTTTCTAGAGAAGAAATATTTCGAATATTATTTCAACAGATTTGTAATAAAAGCGCTATTTAATGTCAAGAATCCGTAAAAAGCATCAACTTTTTTCTCGCATAGACGCATTAGTTGGTCAATCAATCACACTATTATTAACACTTACCTAAAATTTCATCCTAGCAGGAGAATAACATATGTAAAGACCTTGATACGTGTAGATTAACTTCATGTCAGACCGTTGGTGGTATACTGGTCAATATATGAAAGGATGTTCGAAAATACAATATATTTCAGAGAACATGCACTACGCTAATATTTGATTTTGTGAAAACTATAAACATAGAAGAATTATGAAGGAAATAAATCCACGTTCTCCTGCTGATGTTCCATATATATTTCCCGAAACTTGCGAACACATCTACTTGCAATTTTCAAAAATATAAATTGAAACAAGATACTCCTGACCGAAACATTATCTCAAGCACACTTAAACTTCACCAGAATCCAAACGAACAACAACGTGATTTGATGTATCTCGAGTTTCTAATCTGACATTGAAGAATAAAGAGAACATTTCCTAGATAAAAAATGTACATTATTGTTGAATTATATTATATTATTTTATTTTAAAGACAAGAGATTTACTACGAAAATTGATTAAGCACGTGGAATTACCCAAATATTTCCCAGTTGCTTCGCTGTTTCAGCAAAATCCTTGCATTTACCGTCACCGACACCAATGAAACCACCTGAAGGAGAGCAAATGCTATTGCATTCTCCATCATAAAGTGGATTGAATCGATCACAACAGCTGCTGGTAGCCAAATAGGTCATTTTGCCACGATACAAATAATTGTCAATGCGAATATATGGACTTAATCGAGGTGTGGCATTGAAACCATTAATCATTTTTTGAATGCATGCTGGAATCTCTGTTTTAGCTGATGATGATGAGATAACAGCAATAACAATGAGAGCAATAAAAATAATAGGAGTTTTCATAGTATGATAGATGATCTAAAAGTGAAAGACATATGAATAGCTACCTTAATCAAATACCAATATTAATCAAAATTGAAAAAAACTTTTATTCTGTTTGTGTGTCGTACTATATTATCCGTTATGAAATATGCTGCTAGTTTGATGCATTATCGTCATTTGTGTGTGATTCTCATCATAGATAAAATGCATCATTCTGTTTTATTACAGTTTATTGCGTATTCGTATTATAAATTGTATTTGCTATCTTAGTTGATATGCAATTAATAGTGCCGTATTTCATTGCAGCTTCATGCCTACAGCTCCGAATAACGTCGTTTTTTTTTCTTTTGCTGATTTAACATATCAAATGTTGTTTTATTATTCTCTTCGTGCATCGTTTAGTAAATACAAAATAAATTTTCACACAATACATTCAAAACTATTCCATACTGTTACCAAAATAACTGACAAGTCGAAAAACTATTGTAGTAGGTTGTAGAATGGAATATTTTTGTTTTCTTGCGATTGAGATTGATCGCTTCAAAAAATGAATAAAACCATACATAGATTTCAAAGAAAACAAAAGCCTTAACGCATTCTATGGATATGTAATAGAGAGCAATGATCTTGTCATTGGTTTTAGTCAAGGAAGTTCGAATTTTTAATGACAAAAAACTTGCAAAGACATTTGAAGAACACAAAGTAGAACGAAAGAAAGGACAAACTTAACTATAACAAATTGAAAAAAGACTACTATGCATTCGTGTATGTCACGTGAAATATTTTTCTGATTACATCTCATTATAATTTCAGAATTCTATGGTCATCATCAAAACTATATAAGTATATACAACGAACGCGATAAGAAACTTAGGCACATGCTACAATAGTTTCCTACTTCTCATTTACTCTTCTCTAATAGGCCTTGGCAACAATGATTGAAGACCATACCGTAGGAATTCATTGTGAATATATTCAGTATTACTTCTCCTATTCTTTTTTTTTGTCTACTCTGCGATGAGACATTCTATGTCTCCTTTGCTCTCCTATCTTTCTTCTTGCACTTATCGATTTTCATTTTATCTTTATTTTACTTTCCAAAAGTACAGTAAAGTAAGTCAACTTCACCCAAAAAGTAAAGTAAAGCATGCAGATGTTCATTATTAGATATGCACCAGTTCAAGTCCCAACTAGGTGCCAGTCTGTATGGGTAACTACTCCGACTAGGTTCCCAGCTCTGCTGGATATCCAGTGAATTGATCTAGAGTTAATTAGATAATCAGTATTTTTGTTTCTGATCAAAGGTTCTCAGGATCGAGGAATTTGAATCATCAACTAGTTTCTCGAAATTGCGTACTTGATTTTTTACGAAAGAAAGGATTTTTTAGGGAAAGCAATGGTTCTTGATAAAGTTTGACTGTAGATTTTTGAAGTCGCCGAATTCAAATCTGTAATTAGTCGGTAAATGTTTTGAGTTTGACTTTTTTTACCAAAGAAACTTCTGTAGCAAAAGGAACCTTCTGAAGCAAAAAAGAAATCGCTTTTTCCGAAAAACATTTTTTTTAAGAAAAAATTGTTTTCTTTTTGCTAAAGAAAATTGTTTTAGTAAAAAAGTTAAACTCAAAACTCTTTTAACAACCAATTACATATTCGGATTCTTCAACCCCGAAAACCTTCGGTGAAACTTAATAGAGAACTGTTACTTTCCTAAAGAAAAAAATCAAGTACATAAATTCGAGAAACAAACATTTTTTTCAGAAATCAATGAGTATGACTATTTTTGCGAATAACTTTACAATGGTAAGAGTCAGAGAGCTGCGGTTTTCACTGTTTGAAAGAGACGAAACCAAGGCGTATTGTTTTTCTAATATTGTATAAGACTAAATGGTTTTAAAATTAATCATTTCTGCAAGACACTCAAACATTGCCTGAAAATGGTGTGCCAATTTCATAAAATTTTGCTTTGAATATATATGAGTTAGATAGAGAGAGTTAGGAAACTCTAGTTTAAGATATAATTTGAATGATTGTCTCCACATACGCTAACGTTAAGCGAATAAAATCCTCTATATGTCCACCCGAAAAATATGAAATTCTCTCAATGTTTAAGTAAATTTTACTGCTTTTTATTAAAATTTCATCTCAATGGCAGATCATTTTTGTACATTGTTTCGATGTTTTATGAAAATGGTTGATTTTAAAATAATCTCAGCTTATAAAATATTGGAGAAGAAGACGCTCCAACGTGTCTTTTCTCGAATATTGAAGACCGAAGATTTCTATCTCTTTCCATTTTAGAGTTCTTCAAAAACAGCCACATCCATTGCTTTTTGAGAATGACAATAGTTGAAGATTCGGATTCCTTGATTCTGAGAGTGTTTGGTCAGAAACAAAAATACTTATTATCAAATCAACTCTTGGTCAATTCACTTAATATCCAGTAGAGCAGAGAACCCAGTCGGAGGGTTTGGTTGTGGATCTTTTCTTCTCGATCATCCACGCCTACACTCTTGAATGCTTTTCTTCATTGTCTTGCTCTTTGTTAACGACAAGTGATTGATAATGTATTGCTTTGAACAAGAGTGCTGCTTCACTCACATTGCAATACATCGTCGTCGATGTTTCCATTCTTCCGTTGTCGTTGTTGGATGTGGGTGTTGGTCTTCTGTTTACTTATACCCACACCCACACTCCTGTTAATATGAATAGAATGGAGATATAGATAATAATGAATGTGTACTACACAGAATTCTTAAATTCTGCTTGTGACAGCTCTGCCACCCCTTCTATGTCATTCTGCTGAACACTACACTAACTCGCTAAAACTTGCGTTTCATTTGAAAAAGCATCCAATGAATTTATCTTATTCTCGTTTTTTTTTTGTTTAAATAAAATTAGTTTACAAGCAAACATGAGTGTTATTTAAAAAAAAAATAAATATGTACTAAAAAAAACAGTTGAATAAAAATCTTCGATATAGATTAGTGTTCATTAACTTTTTTTATCATGATTTATTGTTTTCATTATGTATAACTAATCTACTTATTTGTTCTTTTGAAAAACTGCTGTCAAACCAAAATGATCTGATGGAAATAAATTTGAATTTCCTTGATATGCGATAGGTTGATTTCCAATTATTTGAATATGTGTCGGAATAATTGTTTGACTTAATAAAATAATTCTATCTAATCTTGATCTATCTGATGATCCATTATGAAATTTAGTCATTGAATTCGTTTCTGTATCATATGTATATCCATGATTATCAGAACCCATTAAGCAAGGCCATACATCAATCCATTGCGGTAATCTATTAAATTGATCAATATTTTCTTGACCACGTGCATGAAAATTAAAATCTCCCATTAAAATGCAACTAGTTGGAGAACGATTAAATACTTTTCTGCATATATCTAATTGATGTAAGCGTTGCTGTTTATTATCTAAAGATTCTAAATGAACAGTACCAATACGAAGTATTTCATTTTCATCTAATTTTATTTCCGCAAGTATTAAACGACGACCCATTGTTGATTGAGAAAAATGAATTAAACTTAATTTGGATATATGAAGACGAATATCAATTAATAATAAAACCCCATACCATTCTTTGAATGTACGACCATCAACATCCGATAAATAATAACGTTCTTGAACAAAGTCTTGTGATAAAAGTTGTTGAAGAATATTTGCTGTCACTATATATATAAAGAGAAAAGTGAAATATATTTCTATAATTCTAGTCAGTAGACAAAAACAGAACAAACTTTCTTGTAAACCAATTATTTGAGCTTGAGATTTGTTTAATATATCACAAAGACTTCTAAACCGTATCGGTTGATAGTCTTCCGAAAACCATATATTATATGTAACAACACGAAACTTATCCCAATGGAGTGTCGAATTATATTGACCAGGTTGTTTTTGTGACCATCGTTGACTTTGTTGATTATATTCCCATAATGGAATAGAAAATTCTTCTTCTTGCATATTATTATCTATATGAGTACATTCTTGGCCCATTAACATTGTACTTTTTCTTATTTTTTATTGATAAATATTGAGATTGTTTTTCGAGAACGGAAACCAAATGCGCAACACAATAAACTTGAAATAGTTGTTATTTGAAATGAATCATGAAAGTTTTTACATTTTGTTAAAACAGAAACGAAAGAAAAAAAATACTATGTGATGAATAGGTCCTCGATGTAACGCATTCTTCTTCATCAAAGCAACAGAAAAATAAATGTCAAACTAATACACCTTTTTTTTATTCTTCTCAACATTAAATAAAAAAAATAATGTTTTCTTTCTTTGATTTTTTTTACGTATTAATTTGGAAAGAAACATTTAAATATCGAGATGTTTTTCTCTTCTCTTAGCTTAATAGAAAAGATGGTAGTTTTCAAGTAATTACTTAAAAATATTTATATCTTTCAATAGATAATGTAACAAAAAAATCACAAGTACCATTAAAAGATTCAACTTGATCAAATATTATTTTGATTCTCTTTTGGTTTTAATTTTTAATAAATACAAATGCTTATTTCTATTAAGGTCAATAGTTGAATCTTGGTTTAGTGATCCGAAGCGACATAAAAAAGAAATACTAAGAAAAATAACATCATTGACTGCAAGTTTTTTTTAATAGAGCATTCTAATCAGAATCACGATAACTCTATGCATTTACAGTTTTAGTATGTGTGTGAAGCTTGATATTGGTTTGGCTGCCAGTGTGTAGGACTATGTGAAAATGTGTTTGAATACACTCACACGCAATAAACAGCGAACCATATTAAACATACAACATTTGTTACAGATACAGCAACTTTTACAGAACTAATTAGTATAGAAGTCAATGGTAACTAAGTTTCAAATTTCCAAAGACAGAACAGTGACTTTTAAAAGGAATGTGGCGTCTTGTAACTTAAAAAAATGCGAAAAATTATCTATGAAACACCTTTTATGTATGATTCTAATATGATCATAAGTGAAGCTTTCTTAATGAGACCAAAACTTCGACTTGATAGTACTATTTTTCAACATTATCTATATGAAAACAATTTCAGAAAAGCTCCTACCATAAACCAAAAATATATTAATCATTTCGAAGAAATCGAACCAAAGATATGCTAATGTTTTATTGTAGAGGCTGTTTCATGATCTATATTTTAAGATAAAAATATTTGCCTTTCACTCTTACAAATTATGTAGGCGTACAGAAAATTTATCGAGTATTTTATATCATAGAGGTTAGTTTTGTCCGCATATCATTTTTGAAAACATGATGTATTACATATTGATATTGTCATACACTTTTGCCGGCTAAGCCTGGTGAAGTGTATTGTTATTGAACTTCTTCATTCTGTTGTCTCATGGCACATATTGCAACTTGAAAACAATTGATTGCTTTTCTACATCCACCGTCACAATTAAATCCTAGTACATTACGTTTGCCATGACTACAATAAATGTTGCGCACGTACAATCTTTGCAATATGAAGTAATTATATACATTTCGATGATAGACTTTATAATCATATTGACAAGAAGGACAACATTTTCCATCATCATAATTATCAATCTTAATTACAATCATCAGAATAATACTACAAAAAACTTTCAGTCATAATATTCTACAACTACGAAGAAATTGAATTAATTTTAATTGATTTAAATAGGAATAAACAACAGCAATAGATTTATTGTTAGAAGATGTGTTTCTATGATTTACACAAGACAGAATTTCAATGTAGTTGTTTCAACGAAAAGTTTAATAGTATGATAAATATGCATGTGTTAATAACTCCCACTTTTTTCTACTCTTTGTATCAGCATATCGACCATTTTATTCCTATCCACAAAAAAACACAGAAAGAAAACAAAAATATATATTGACATACCTATGATAGTTCTTTTTCATTGAGAGGGATGCATCAGAAGAGAAGACAGACAAGGAGAGAAAAAAATAACAGGCCAAGGATACAGATAAGAAACAATCATGAATACAAGCAATATATTAACAAAGAGAAAACAATTTAACTAAATATGTATCATGACTGGCAACCACAACAATATACCGGATGTTCCAAAAGTACTTGCCTACAAGTTGGTTTTGTTGTATTTTATTATTGATAGAACTTCATCGAATAAGTATCTGTTGAATAATCGATGAATACACTGAATATTTAGTTGTAAAGACAAGTTTCAAAATGATTGTTGGAAGCTAAGATCTTTAACCAAAATACAAAACTAACAACTATTTTCTGTTGTTTTGGAAAATCCTACTATATAATATTTCTTTTTTAATTACTTCAAGTTGTTCAATAATTCGAATCTTTAAATAGTCCAATACTTGAATGATCTTTTCACAGAATTTTATTTTGGTTATGACTCTACAACAACAAAACGAATGATGTCAAGTAAAAACTCAAACAATTAAAATTCAGATCATCCCGAAGTTTTTCTCAATAGAGAAAACCGAATAAATTTTTATATTTTGGTTAAGGATCTTTGTTTTGTTTGTAGAAATAAAAACTCTGTATATTTATTTATTATCAAACAAAAATTATTTGATCGAATCCAGTCAACAGTGAAATGAAAGAAAAACTTTTAGGAAGTCACTTTTAGGACACTCGATGTAAATTATGTAGGATATCTTGGACCTAGATTCGAGTATTCCGCAACTGGATTCCCCAGTAGGTTATACCAAACGGTGAAAAAGCAATATCAAGATAGATCTAGACGAGATCTATCGATTCCACTATTTACTTTTTTCCCCAAGATCCCCGCTTCATGGAAAAAAATCCAAAATACTGACAAAAAATAAGCGAAAAAAAAGCATTTTCCGTATAGTGCAACTGGATTCGCCTATAGGTTCTACCAGAACGAGAAAATGGTATAACAAGATAGAACTCGACGAGCTCTATCGAATGAACACCTTTCCGGATCGTGTTGATGCTTTGATCCCCTCCGGAAGGACAAATCCTGGCCGAAATCCGGATTTTTGGGCGATATTTCGCAACTGGATTCGCCTACAGGTTATACCAAAACGAGAATATGGTATACTAAGATAGAGTTCGTCGAGTTCTATCTTGGTATACCATTTTCTGGTTTTGGTATAACCTGTAGGCGAATCCAGTTGCGAAATACCGCGAATATCCGGATTTCGGCCAGGACTTGCCGTTTTAGAGGGGATCCAAGCATCAAATCCAATTGGAAAGGTGTTCAATCGATAGTGCTCGTCGAGTTCTATCTTGTTATACCATTTTCTCGCTTTGGTATAACCTATAGGCGAATCCAGTTGCACTATACGGAAAATGCTTTTTTTTCGCTTATTTTTGTCAGTATTTTGGATTTTTTTCCATGAAGCGGGGGTCTTGAGGAAAAAAGTAAATAGTGGAATCAATAGATCTCGTCGAGATGTATCTTGGTATAGCCTTTTCACCGTTTGGTATAACCTACTGGGGAATCTAGTTGGGGAATACTCGAATCCAGGTCCAAGATGTCCTATGTTTATAAATGGGTCCATTACAAAAATAGTTGCACAACCAAGCAGGCCATAAAAAGTCAGTGAGAGGTGCAGTGAGTGGTCGAAACTTGAAATAGAGATTTTTTTTCTCGTTCTGTTTGATATTCGAGCACCTCGAATCCATCGAAAATGGAGCCCTCAGAAACATTCTCTTATCGGACACTGATTCTCGACTGTTCAGATCGATTTCGACCACTTGTAAGGCATCGAATTACCAAGTAGTCGAAGCAGAAAATCTATCAGAAAGCTATTATCGATTATTCGATATGATTTCAACCAGTCGAAGCGTATCGAAGTTGCCATTGCTCTTTGAGAGAAAATCTGAGGACCAAATAATTTTTACTATGTGATTAAATTTTAATCGGTGGAAACTACTTCGAAATTCTTTTTTCTAGTGACTCTACACTTTCGTTTAATTATGTCATCCACTAAATTGGTTTCTGCTATATAGGTATACATAAGTTCATAGTTTCCAGAAAAATATTCAATATTTGTCGATTAACAAATAATTAATATACATATATATGTGCCTTTTTTTATTAAAAAATACTCATTATGAACTACCAAGAATTAATTTCATCACAAATTCTGAGTCCTTACACCAAACTCATTTCCAAGGGCTATACGGAAAAGAGCTCCTCAATGAGATTGTTTCGAACAATCGATCGTTTTACGATTAGTTGTTACTAAATAAATAGTCGGATGTTCTATCGAACATAACTCCATTGTGAAATAGTTTCAGGTTATCGAGTTTTTTCAATCTTTTTGTTTAAAGTTTATTTTAGAAACTATAATGCAGTTCAATATGCCTTATTAAAATTTCCATACACGAATTTTTATGAGATTTGATTTTGTCTATGAAAATTCGACAGCATTGGGATCAACAAAAAAGACTTTTATAGCTGAGCCAAGAGAAGAAACAAGATAAGTTCAAAGTTTCTTTTTTTTATTGCAGCAATCAGTTGCTATCTTATCATATCTTTACCGATCAATGGATTCTGCATTAACCCTGATTTTTCTGTCTGCATTTCGTCTTTAACATTCATCAAAAAGGACTGGCTACGTTCTCATCTCGATATTAAAAAGCATCAAATATTTTGAAACATTAGAATCGCAGAAACATATTGCGTTACTCATTAAGTGTAGAAGTTCATTCTTTCATATTTTGGAAAACTTTTGTGTATATTATTCGTAGATCATCAACTCATATTTTGCATAACAATTCCCACAGATTTCTCAACGATAAAAGAAACCTATTAAAATAATCGAATATTGGAATCTGAGAGTAGTTCTGTAAAATTTATCATATTTTTTCTTTTCTTTTAAATATTTCCTTTATAAATTTTAATGAATGGACGTGCGCTGTATATTTTTTCAGAAAATTTTTACTTAGCACAACTAAACTTAATATAGTTATGATTATTTTCTGTATTAATAACAGCAAAGATATTCTTTTTGAGTTTTCAAAAAAGAAATTACCCGATAAGGGTGGGTGTGG